TCTCAAAAAAAAAAAAAAAAAAAAAATTGGCATCCCATTTTTTGGTCCTCAATCACATATTTTCTCCTGTCACCATCCACCTATTTCTCATCCACACAGGCTTTGTGCATTTATTCAAATGTTTGAGGATGTCGAGCACACATTAAGTGCCAGTAGGCACTTGCTGAGTTGAATCTTATCAGTATATGCTGCCTAAATCTTGGTCACACAGAGATGGCTACTAAGAACATCAGGGCCAGCAGAGGAATGACATCCAGAATGTCCAAATGAGTTTGGCGTTGTGGGAGAGGAGGTCCCTCAAAACACTGGCCGTCCTCCTCACAGAGCAAAAGGTCAGGACTTGGTGCATAAGCCTAATTGCTTGGGCAGACTCTGCATGCCCTTTGACCCCTTGGTGACCTGAACCACAAAATACACAATGAAGTGAGGGAGTGGGGAGGGGAGACAGCTATGAGCTGTGACTTTTGCAGCTAGGGTATTATAAGTGAATTGGATTGAATTGAATTGAATTGGACTGGAATGGGGTGGATTTATTCAGTCTTCTTTTAAAACGCCATCTGCTTTCATGATCCCAGGCAGGCCAGAGTTTAGTAAGGAGAGATTGTACTTCTAGATGTGCAATGATTACTCTAAGAAAAACTGAGAGCTGTCTGTTCATATTTGCAGAAAAAAGAAAAAAAAATCAAGTTACATTTTTCAGGATGTCTGATTTGGTCTCAAATAAGTTGAGTTTAACTGTCCAGAGGAATTGCAGAGTGATAATAATTACACATATGCCTCAGTGAATCACAGGCACAGGTTCTGAGAAAACTCTCACGACTGTGTCCTTTAAAGACAAAGCAAGACACTGTCCTGTGTGGGAAGTGGCGGTCCCTGATTCCTGCCCTCTCTTCCCCAGGTGGACCTGCGCTTTCTGACCATGCTCACGGCCATTGCCACACAAGGGGCGATTTCCAGGGAAACCCAGAATGACTACTATGTCAAATCCTACAAGCTGGAAGTCAGCACTAACGGTGAAGACTGGATGGTGTACCGGCATGGCAAAAACCACAAGGTAGGCTCGGCGCCTGTGGCTCAAGCGGCTAAGGCACCAGCCACATACACCTAAGGTGGCGGGTTCGAATCCCCAGCCCGGGCCCGCCAAACAACAAAAATGATGGCTGCAACCAAAAAATGGCCAGGCGCTGTGGCGGGCACCTGTAGTCCCAGCTACTTGGGAGGCTGAGGCAGTAGACTCGCCTGAGCCTAGAAGTTGGAGGTTGCTGTGAGCGTGATGCCATGGCACTCTACCCAGGGGGACAGCTTGAGGCTCTGTCTCAAAAAAAAAAAAAAAAAAAAAAAAACCACAAGGTAAATCCAGGTCCCTACCTCAAAGGCAGGCTTGGCGAGTTCTAGAGGGTTTAGACAAGGGAAGCTTCAAGCCAACTCCGCCCAGGGGAGGAGCCTTGTGTAGTGAGGCTCAAATCATTGAGGCAAGGAACATGCTGGCCCTGAAAGTCTTCATTCTTATGCTAAAGTGACTGGAAAACACCATTTCTCCACAGCCTGGCTCCTGTTGCATCTTGCAGGGTGTCCTCTGACTTGCAATGAAGGAGAAAATGCATTCCCAGCCCATGTCTCCCCACACAGGGCTCACTGAGCATTTACGACCTGAGTCCCTTCCACATGCTGGGCTAACAATCACAAAACCACATGAAACTACAGTTCAGGAGTTACTGGGGTCTGGAAATGAAAGGCCACAGATCCTAAGAGACAATCACAATGACCCAGAGCAAAAAAGAAGACAATAAATAACAAAGAGAAATTCAGTTTGTCAGGGATAGGATCTGGACTGGCCATCATGCTTCTCAGCATGGTGTTGCATTCTCTCAGCTGGTGCCTTGGTCACAAGGTGCCTGGAGGTGTGGTCCCTGTGGGCAACAGGGGAGACTTCGTTGTATACATATGGATAAACGCCTGCACTTAGCTTTCTTAAGAAACACGGTATTGTGGGTCTGCAGCTAGCCCTAGCGATGCACTGATTGTGTGACATACTCAGTGCATGGAGGGCTCACAGGAAAAAGCCAGGGTCTCTGCCTGGATGGGAGCCCAGGTGGGGATTTGTGATGGGCACACAGGCCATGGTGGCCCCTGTAGATGGAGAGAGGCAGAGCGGGGGGAACTGGCAGGAGAGTGTGATGTCAAGATTCCCAGAGGTTACCCATCCTTCTCTAGAAGAAAAATGAGGAGGGAGGAGGGTCTTTCCTCTGTAGGCTACAGTTCCTCCAGGCCTTGTTCTGTCAGGATGTGAAGCACCAAAATGGGGTGCAAGTGGGCAAGCCAGAGGGCCAAAGATCTTTCCCAAAGGGAACCTCCTCTGCCCCTGTCACTGCCCCAAGGATTTTGCTGATGCGACTGGAAGGCTTGGACCTAGAAAATCCTGAACTATAATGTTGGCAGCCTCCCTTGGGAAATACGAGTTTTCAAAGGAGTGGATTTTGTAAAAATCAAAATTGCCATAGTAACATGGCACCATTCATCTGAAAATCTTGCTTCTAGATATTACCAGGTATCTCTCTCTCTCTCTCTCTCTC